GGAGAAGCAACTCCAGGGACGCGACAGAGCCAGAAGGAGCCTTGCCCGGGGAATGGAGAAGGGCATGGCGCGGTCAGATAATTCCTCCTCCCGGACGCCCTCTCCTCTTGCTTCGACCCATTCCTGGAACTCACTGGCCCTCGGGGTCCAGGAACAGTCCCGCTGCAGAAGCAGAGCCAGGATGCAATGAATGAACGTGGGGCCCTCAGCCACGTCTTTGGGACCAGGACTTGGCGACGGAATGCAGACGACACCGCTGTTTACCGCGGAGGAAATGTGGGCGCCTCGCGCTGAGCCGTCCAGGGCTTTGGTCACCCGGGTGGAGCCGAAGCGGGGAGAAACGCCCTGACGTTTCACTCCGCCTGTCTCCTGCTTCCCATCCTTCCCAGGAGATCATTTCACTTCATTGTTTTGCAATATTTCCTCCCACTCGAGCGCTGCTTCTTTATTTTCTTAAATGCGTGTTTCACAAAGAGCAGGGATTGAGTTTTGTACTTTTGCTATGTTGTTCATTTTTGTGTGTCTGTGGGTGGTGAAATCGGGTCGGAGTCCCTCTAAAGTCATTTTTGCCTCTTGCTCTCCTCAGGGAGGATATTAAAGGCTTTTGTGGATTTCAACCGCAAAAACCTTTTGTCAAAGTTCCTTCCGAGGGTTTCAGTTCCGTCCCGCCCCGTCCCTCCGGGTTCTTGGCCCTCCAGCGGCGCCCGCTGCGCCAGAGCTCAGGCTAGGTTCCGCCTGCCGGATGCCCCGCAGGGGGCGTTCGGCCGCCGCCGCCGCAGTCCCAGCAGGAGGGACAGGGCCTGGAGCGGGTTGCGGTCAGCATCACAGTCCTGCAGGCCACACTCTCGCCCACACTCAATCTGGACTCCATCTCTCTGCGCTCTACACCTGGAAGGAGTGAAGGATCCAGTCTCTCCATGTCCTCCCTGTGATTCTGATGACAACCTTCCTTCTGGGTGTGAGGTGGCATCTTCTTGTGGCTGTGATTTGCATTTCCCTGACGGCTATGGATGTTGAGCCTGTTTTCATGGGCTTAGTGACCAATGTATACTTCGCCGGAGAAATGTTCGTTCAAAACCTTTCCACATATTTATATTGCATTATTTCTCTTTACAATATTGAGTTGTAAGAGTGCTTTATATATTCGGGATACCAGTCCCTTACCAGATATATAATTTGCACATATTTTCTCCAAGCTGTAAGTTGTCTTTTCACTTTCTAAATGGCATTCTTTTCGAAGCACAGAGGTTTTACCTTTGGAATAAATCAAATCAAACTATTTTTCTTTTGTCAATAGTTCTTTGGCAGGGGCCGGGCGCGGTGGTTCACGCCTGTAATCCCAACACTTCAGGAGGCCAAGATGGGTGGATCACCTGAACTCAGGAGTTTGACACCAGCCTGGGCAACACGGTGAAACCCCGTCTCTACTAAATATACAAAAAATTAGCCGGGCGTAGTAGTGTGTGCCTGTAGTCCCAGCTACTCCGAAGGCTGAGGCAGGAGAACCACTTGATCCTGGGAGGTGGAGGTTGCAGTTAGCTGAGATCGCATCACTGCAGTGCAGCCTGGGCGATGGAGCGAGACTCCAGCTCCAAAACAAACAAACAAACAAACAAACAAGAAACAGAAAAAAGAAAAAATAGTGCTTTGGCATACAGTGCTTAAGTAGCCTTAGCCAGACCCAAAGTCATACAGATTTACGCCCATGCTTTCTTTTTTCTTTCTTTCCCTTCCTTCCTTTCCTTTCCTTTTTCCTTCCTCCCTTCATCCCTCCCTCCCTTCTTTCCTTCCTTCCCCAGGCTGGAATGCAATGGTGCAGTCTTGGCTCACTGCAACCTCTGCCTCCCGGGTTCAAACCCTACTCCTGCCTTGGCCTCCCGGGTAGGTGGGATTACAAGCTCCTGCCACCACACACGGCTAGTTTTTAGCAGAAACGGGGTTCCACCATGTTGGTCAGGCTGGTCTTGAACTCCTGAACTCAAGTGATCTGACCACCTCAACCTCATAAAGTGCTGGGATTACAGGTGTGAGCCACTGTGCCTGGCCCTCCAACCCCATTCTTTAGGGCTTTTCTCTGGTAACCTAATGACCTATCAAAGCCTCCCCCTCCTAGCACATGTCGGGGATTAGGTTTGGGGGGACATAGACATTCAGTCACCAGTACCACCTCAGCTGAGTATTGTCTCCATGGAAATGAGGAAGCTGGATAGCTTTCTCCCCACAGTCTCCTCTTGACTGTCATCCCCTCGGAGTGACACTGAGTGACACTCCCTGGTGTGGAGGGCTTTGTGTGTGTGGTGCACTCCTACCCCTGCCACACTCAGGCGGGCAGCTGATGTCACCACTGCAGCTCTACTTCCTGCCTGCACAGAACCTCCAGGTCAGCCAAAGGTCAGAGATGTGGCCTTCTCAGGTGCTTCCTGGGCACATGCCAGCCGCTATGCTCATCTAATTCCCCAAATCTTTCTCTCAATTTCCCCCAGTAGCCACTTGTTTGCCCCACATGCAAACGGTGAGGATGTACAGTTTCAATGATTGCTTCTAGCCAGTGCTCTGAGGCTCTGGCTTTTCCCCTAGAGAGAGACCTCAGCGGGTCAAACAATGACAAACCCAAGGAATGGGGCTTTTCCAGTGAGTCCCAGACAGGCCAAATAGAGTTCTCTGAGGCTGGGGCTTTTGAGGGGCTCCAAGCCCAGGGTGCCCCTCCAGCGAGTGGAGACTGTGGCCTTGCAGCTGTCACTGACATGGTGAGTCCAGTGTTTTCTGGGCACTATAAATCAGGATATATTGTGCAGACCACACATAGAAAGAAATGGTAGGAGGAAGAATAAAAATTTTCATGTATGTACTTGGTAAGAATTAGAAAAAAAAAAACAATGAGGAAGGGGCAAGGTTGGCTTGGTTGTAGCTAACCTGGTGGAGAAATGCAGCCGTCTGTGATAGAGGGCCTGAGCTCTTAGGTTCCTCTGCAATGCTGAGAGCACCTCCACAACCGGCCCTGCATCCTCCTCTCTCCCGAGGCTGAATGCAGCTCTTGTGCCTTCAGTGCCAAGGAAGCCACAGTCCTAGGCCAGAGGAAAGGCTAAGGTGGACAGTGGAACAGGAGGGGGTGGGTGCAGAAAGAGAAGGCTGACAGCAAGGATTTCCTGAGGATAAACAAAAAATGTCACGTGTAAATGGAAAGAAAAGAAGGGTATAAAGAACAAGATGGAAATCATCTGTAATTCCATTATACAGTGTTAATTTTAGGGTTTTGGCACTTCCATGTATAATTCTTATACAATTATCATCATACAACTTACGATTATTTTAAATGATTAGAGTTTATTTTTTTGAGCTGGGTTAGGGTTCTTAGTGCAGAATCCTCTCACTCCGGTCAGTTAACTCCAGGTTTTTGACCTTATGTCGTTTTTATTTATTCATCTTTAATTTCAACCTATATTATACATTAAAGGGTACACATACAGGTTTGTTACATGGGTAGATTTTGGGAGGCTGAGGCTTTGTGTCCCAGTGATCCCATCACCCAAACAGTGAGCATGGTGCCCCACAGCTCGTTTTTCAGCTCAGGTGCCCCTCTTCTCTCCCCCGTTTAGTAATTTCCAGCATCTGTGGTTCATGTGAATTCAAGGTTTAGCTGCCACTTTCAAATGGGAACATGCAGTATGTGGTTTTCTGTTCTTGCCTTAGGTTGCTTAGGATAATAGCCTCTAGTTCCATCCATGTTGCTGAAAAGGACGTGACTTTGCTGTGTTTCGTAGCTACATAGATTTCCATGGTGTCTATGTACCACATTTGTTTTTTTCATTCAATTCAGTGTTGTTGGGTACTTAGATTGATTCTGTGTCCTTGCTAGTGAAAATAGCACTGTAATAGACATACTGGTGCAGGTGTCTTTTGGATAAAATGAATTCTTTTCCTTTGGGTATATCCCCAGCAGTGGGATTGTGGGATTGAATGGTAGTTCTATTTTAAGTTCTTGGAGGAATCTCCAAACTGCTTTCCATAGCAGCTGAACACGTTTGCTTTCCCACCAACAGTGTCTGTTTCCTTTTCTCTGCAGCCTCACCACCATCTCCGACTCTGACTGGTAAGAGATGGTAACTCATTGTGGTTTTGATTTGCACTTATCTCATGAATAGTGATATTGAGCATTTTGTCATGTTTCTTGGCCACTTGTATGTCTCCTTTTGAAGTGTCTGTTCATGTCTTTGCACATTTTTAATTGGATTTTTTGTTCTTGCTTGTCAAATTGTTTAAATTCCTTATAGATTCTGGATATTAGACCTTCATCAGATGCAGAGTTTGCAAATAGTTTCCCCCATTCTACAGGCTGTTTACTGTGTTCCTAGTTTCTTTTGCTGTGCAGAAGCTCTTTTAATGAGATCTCATTTGTCAATTTTTGTTTTTGGTACAATTGTTTTTAGTGTCTTCTCCATGAAATCTTTGCCAGGCCCTATGTCCACATTTGTATTTCTTAGATTATGTTCCAAGATTTTTACAGTTTTAATACTTATATTTAAATCTTTCATCCATATCGAGTTATTTTACATATATGGTGAGAGGTAGGGGTTCAGTTTCATTCTTCTGCATATGACTGGCCAGATATCCCAGCACTATTTTTCGAATAGGGGATCTTTCCCCCATTGCTCATTTCTGTTGAAGATTAGATGGCGGTAGGGGTGCAGGTTGATTTCTGGGCTGTCTATTTTGTTCCACTGCTCTAAGTGTCTATTTTTGTGCCAGCATTGGTCTGTGTTCGTCACTGTAGCATTATAATATAGTTTGAAGTCCGGCAATGTGATGCCTCTGGCTTTTTCCTTTTTGCTTAGTATTGTTTCAACAGCTTGAACTTTGTTTTTTCCTTTTAGTTCCAAATAAGTTTTAGAATGGATTGTTTTAATTCTGTGAAAAACAATATTGGTATTTTGATAGAGATACCTTTGCATCTATAAATTGTTTTGGGAAGTATGGCCATTTTAGCTATATTGATTCTTCCAACCCATGTGCATGAAATATTTTTTCCATTCATTTGCGTTTTGTCTTATTCTTTTTAGCAGTGTTTTGTAGTTCTCCTATAAAGATCTTTCATCCCTTCAGGTCAATGAACTACTAGGTACTTCATTTTCTTTGTGGCTGTTGTAAATGTGATTGTGTTCTTGCTTTCATTCTCAGCTAGAATGTTGTTGGAGTATAAGAATGCTACTGATTGCGTACATTGATTTTGTATCCTGAAACTTGACTGAATTCATGTATCAGTTCCAGGAGCCACTCCAGCTCCCCTTCTGTACCTGGGTTTTCCTTTGAGCCCCATTCCCTCCCGCAAGTGTCTCATTCATTCAGTTGCATGCTCAGTCTCCAACCACCACTTAAATCATGTCAGGTACACCTGATGAAGAAGAGAAAAACCATCCTCTGTGAGTCTAGAAAACACTCTGGATTCCTGATAAGTGTGTCCTGTGTCCCCCTGGTTGCTGGAGGAGGTGCATGATTGCTAGATCACAGCCATTAGCACCTTTGGGCTGCTGCTATTCCCAGCTTGGGTGGACCTGAGTCTGGTGGCCAGGAGCCTACAGCAGGAGTGAGGCAGGTGGGCCCAGGTGTGCACAGAGGCCCCTCCTCCTGTTACCTGGCTGTCCTGCCCAGGACTGTCCTGCAAGCATTCTGCCTTCCTCCTGTTCACCCAGTCACTGACCCAGGTTACCCAGCCTCAAGCCACTGGAGGCTGCCAGGGCTTTCCCAGTGGCCTCCTCCCAGGACTAACCTGGGATCCTGTCCCCAGCCCTGTGCATGGGTGGCTCTTCTCACACAGAGATCCTGGGATCCACCAAACTCTACCCCTCCCAAATCTGAGAACTGCCTAACTCCGTGTCTGTTGTCCTCCAGACCACCCTCTGTGTGGCCTCTCCTGGACAGAGCCTCTAGTGCATCAGGCCAGAATCTTCTAGGCTGCTGTGTCCCTGCTCAGTCACAGAGGTGGCTGCCATCCCATGCCCCTGTCCTGAAGCAGAGAAAGGCCCTGGGCTTGCCCCAGGCCTTCCATCTTTTCCCACAGCCTCAGGGCCCTGGGGATTGAAGGTCACCGGGTGCAGTTTCTCCCCACGTGAAGACTGTGTGGAGTGGGAGGTCTGTGCCTATTTTTTTTCATTTAATGAGGAAAGAGCTGAGTGGCTGGGGGCAGAGTGGGACTCATGGTCTCTGCCCAGTCCTCACCCCAGGCTATACCCTCCATAGCAGCCAGGGGCCACTGGGCCCCCCACCTCCCTCTTACTTCTGCCCATGGTTCCAGATGCCTCCATGGTGACTGAGACGAGGATGTGCTGGGGGTTCCTCAGTTGTGGGTGGATGAAGTGACCACAGGGATGAGCTGAATGGAGAAAGGGTGCAGCCACCGACTCAGACCTGGGCGACCATTGATGGCTGTGTTGTAAAGTGAGCCCTATATGGAAGGAGAACCCTCCCTCAGCTCCTGTGCCCATGGAAATCCAACACTTCACAGATCTGAGTCTCATCTGGATCAGGCCATGTATTTAGAAAGTGATGAAGGGACCCTGGGCTTGAGCTGCTTCAGTCTCTAGAGGGGCCTGGGGGTTGCCTTCAGGGGATAAGGGGGCAGGAGAAGCTGCCTGAGGCTGAGGGTTAAGAGGAAAATACCTGGAGGCCCTGGCTTTGCAGGAGGAGGAGGAGCTGTGCTGCATTTATGGAGGTATTCACTCCTTCACATCAATTTCTGAAAAGTAAGTTTTTCTTCAATTTCTATTTTCAACTAGTAAAAAAAAAAATGAAACAATAGAATGAACAGAGTGGTTGCAAGCACATTACGGAGAACTTCTCTTCCTGCACTACTTGAGAGTGAGCTGTCACGCTGACATCCCATCTTAGAGATGCCACCTCATGCCCCATACTTTACTATGGTTTCCTTGCAAACCAGGACACTCTCCAGATAACCCCTGTGCAAACTCCAAGTTAGATTTCACTGCAGACATTGCGACCATCTCATGCTAAGACGCCACTCTGGGTTCAGCAATTGTTCTAAGAATGTCTTTCATCACCAGGGAGCTGATGGATGTGGGCATTTCCTACCCCCTTATTTTCCTAAATATCTACACTATGGTGTTGTATTTGTCCCACTGATTGATCTGTATATTTTTGGAAATATGGAAAGTGATCTGGATTGATGTGGTTATTTTTATTGTGTGTAAATCACAAATGTTCACTAATATGTTGGAGAAGTTTAACATTTTCATCCAGCATTTGAATTGTTTCATTTTTGCTAGTTCGGATTTTGTAGTCTGATGTAGAGCAAAACAGGAATCTTTCATCAACATTGAAAAGCATTCTGTACTATACTTGAATATTTCATTGCTAACTTTTTGCTACAACAAAGGACAGCACAGTCAGCATCCTAGTATCTCCATGTTCTCTGGAACATGTTTGGAACCCAGAACTGACTCTGGGATTGCTGGTTAGTGGGATAAGCACAGCATCCACTCTCCTGGATACTACCTGAGTAGACATCAAAAAAGTGATTCAATCTGGACTCTTACCCACAATGTAAGAAGTCTCTGATATTCCATTTCCTGTCCACCAATTGGTAGAGACAGACTAAAAAAATTTGTTGGTAAGATGAGTATACAGGGGTAGACCATTGTTTTCTTGATTGTATCAGAGCTATGAAAGCTTTCACAGGTTTCTTTAGGATCTCTGAATTGCTCACAGCATTTCCTGAAGAATTAGGTGATTTTATTAATTTCTAGTAGTTCTTTATATATTCTGCTTCTGATCTTTTGTCTATGGGGGAATATAATAACATTTACAAATAGAGATGTATCTGTAGTGAGGATTTCTTTCACTAGAAGTGAGCACGGTCAGGGCTAAAGAATGATGAGAAAAGCCACTGCCAACCGTGGAGTGGGCTGGGGACAAACCAGAAAGCATCACATTCTGGAAGCAGGGATAGAGGCAGGAATATCTGCTAGCCCAGGACATCAGGACAGTGGTGAAGACTGACAGCCAGACTGCTTATAAATTAAGAGTGATCTTTAAAGTCTCTGTCTCCAAAAGATATCTAGCAGCATCACTAGTTTTATTATTAAATATAACATGTCAGAAGAATGAAATCCCATTAATTCTCTATATAGGGCAACATAGGAAGACCCAGTCTCTACCCAAAAATCAAACAATTTGCCAGGCATGGTGGCATGTGAGTGTACTTGCAGCTATTCTAGAGGCTGAGTCTAGAGGATCACTTGAGCCCAGGAGTTGGAGATTACAGTGAGTGATGATTATGCCACTTCACTCCAATATGGTTGACAGAATGAAAAACTGTAAAAAAGCATAACAGTAAAAAGGATTAATACAATTCTTGGTCAGTGCATGGAAAAGATCCCTGAGATCTGAGGTCCAGCACACTATTTTACTAGCAATACTGCTTGGAAGAATAAGGTCATGCTTCAGAGAAGTGTCTGTTTTCCATAATCAAAGAAGCAGAAATAACTCTTTTTTTTTTTTTTTTGCTGGGATTTCTTGTTCAGTTAAAACGTGTGCAGGAATTCCTTTCATTACCACTGAGAGAAAGTGACAGAAGATGTTAAGAAAAATGGCTGCTAGGATCATCACCAAAGGAAATGAGTGGCATGACATGTTGAGTCTACAATGTCCTCGTCATCTGCTGGAGGGGGGGCTGTGGTATCGGGGGAACCCACCCTCAATATTTCAACATATGTTCTTTCTATTTTCCCTAAGTGTCGGCAGGTCTGAGAAATAAAGAGAAAGAGTACAAAGAGACGAATTTACAACTGTGCTGCCAGGGGTGACATCACATGTTGGAAGGTCTGTGATGCCCACCTGAGCAGCAAAACCAGCAGGTTTTTATTAAGGACTTCAAAAGGGGAGTGGATGTACGAACAGGGAGTAGGTCACAAAGATCACATGCTTCAAAGGGGGATAAAGATCACAAGGCAAAGGGCAAAGCAAAGATCACAAGGCAAAAGGCAAAATTAGAATTACTGATAAGGGTCTATGTTCAGCTGTGCAAGTATTGTCTTGATAAACATCTTAAACAACAGAAAACAGAGTTCAAGAGCAGAGAATTGGTCTGACCTCAAATTCACCCAAATTCACCAGGGTGGGATTTTCCCCCCACCCTAATAAGCCTGAGGGTACTGCAGGAGACCAGGGCGTATTTCAGTCCTTATCTCAACCGTGTAAGACAGACACTCCCAGAGCAGCCATTTATAGACCTTCCCCCAGGAATTCAATTCTTTTCCTAGGGGCTTAATATTATATTCCTTGCTACGAAAAGAATTTAAGAATATCTCTCCTACTTGCATGTCCATTTATAGGCTCTCTGCAAGAAGAAAAATATGGCTCTTTTTTCCCAACCCCACAGCCAGTCAGATCTTATGGTTGTCTTCCCTTGTTCCCTAAAATCGCTGTTGTTCTGTTCATTTTCAAGGGGCATAGATTTCATATTGTTCAAACACACATGTTTTACAATCAATTTGTTCAGTTACCACAATCATCACGGGGTCCTGAGGTGACGTACATCCTCAGCTTATGAAGATAACAGGATTAAGAGATTCAAGCAAGACAGGCGTAAGAAATTATAAAAGTATTATTAGGGAAGTGATAAATATCCATGAAATCTTCACAACTTATGTTCCTCTGCCACAGCTCCAGCCTGTCCCTCCATTTGTGGTCCCTGACTTCCTGCAACACTGTGGACTTGCTAAGGCTTGAACTCCTGCTTTCCAGAAAGGCACAGTGGTGAGTAGACAGGCGGCCTCCCTAAAGGGAGAGCAGGAACCAGACCAGACTAACAGGGGGTTCTTGATATCATCTTTCACCTTAACAAAAGATGAAGTGTTGGTTTAAGTGGCTGAGAAAAACCTGGATCTGTTCTCCTGGGTGATCCTTCCCAGACCCTCCCCATTTCGGAGCCTCTCCTCCAAATATGGAATATGTTTCTCCCTCCAGCCCTAACCCTGGCTGTGCAGCCTGTCCCAACCTCCTCCCTCCTTCACCACACCACAGAGCCAGCCCAGGTCCTGTTACAGCCCAGGGAGGCTCAGAACTGAGGCTGGTAATGAGGGGTCTGCACCCTCACTCGGGTACTGCTCCTCCCTCTCATAGAAGGGTCTAGACGACCTGGAGGAGCCTTGTCCAAACAGAAGTATCTGGATCCATGTTTCCTGGCCTTGGTTGGGCTTGCAGGCAAACTTCCTTGTTTCCCCTTCCCTCTCAGCCTCTCCTCACCCTGGGAGCTGCACCCATAGCTCTAAATGGGACTGTCCCTGCCCTGCCCCATTCATTCCTGGCTAAGCTCAGTGGTGACCATGGAATTTCAGCAGCAGCTCAGCTCCCCTGTCTGAGTCCACTCTGCTCCAGGCAGGGCCATCAGCTGACTCAAGATCTGGAGTGCGCAGGAGGCATAATGGCAGGGGCATCACCCCAGGGCCTGGCCATGAATCCCTTGGGTACAAGGGGCTTGGCCTTTTCCTAAAACTCATCCTGGACATGCTCTACTCTTCATCTTTCACTTTAACTGTTGGAACTCAAGGTGCTTTCTCTGGGAATGCAGCTTTAGGAACTGGGTGGACCAAGGCCCTCACAGCCCCCTTGTCCTGGGATTCCTCCAGATGGCTCTCTTCTTAGCCTCCTCCAGGGACACCCTTTCCCTTGACATCCTAGGTGAAACAGCCATGCTGTTCCTCTCCTATTGCACGGACTGCCCATGCCTGAGTTCCTGCTGCCTGCAGGCCACACACCACTACCCTTCCTGAATAGAAACCTGCTCTGAAACAGGCCTGAATTGGCTAAACCCTCTCGAGCTCAATAGGCCCTGAGCTTTGGTATGGGCCTCTCCCTTTCCCTCTACCCTCTGACAGTGAGAATCCATCAGAACTCAAGGTTGAGTTGCCCAGGTCATTGCCAACAGGTGACACCAGGTCTTATTGACCTGTCTCATGTCAGGATGAGAAGGTCCCGGCCATGGGGAGGGGTGGGGCTCTGGGAATTCTCTTTCCCTTCCTCCCACCTCACCCATCTGTCTCTTGTTCCCCTCACAGTTTTTCCCACAGTACCTGTCACTCTAAAGGACTCTCCTGAGATGCCAGGGAGGATGAAGCAGAGAATGATGAGGAGGCTCCAGAGACTGAGGTTGGTGGCCATGGCTTTGGTTTGGGCTGTGCGTGGGGCCACAGTGAGTGGTTCTGAAATGGAAACACTGGAGTGACAACTCTTGTCCATGCCCCAAATCTGAGGAGACACCTCTTCAGCTCCTGCTGCCCCAGGTCATCCTGGAAGGCAGAGGATTTTTCTCCCCTGCTGTGGGGCAGCCACTGTGACAGGTCCTGGGGGTAGGAAAGGAGAGGGGGTGTCCCCATCCTCAGGGAGCTCACATAGCTGCTGAGGGAAGCAAGGTGACAGCACAGCCCACCCTCCTGCTCTGGCAGAAGAGGAGGTGATGTCCCAGGGCTGGGGAGGGGAGAGTCTCGGGGCTGGCATTCGAGGTAGTTTTGATGGATTTCCAGAAAGAGACCAAAGGAGAGGAAAGGAAAAGTAATTCTAGGTGGAGGGAAATCTAAAGAGAAAGGTCTAGAAACACAATGACGCCCACAGTTTCGAGGTTGGTAATAAATCCACAGTAAGTGGAGCAAAAGCAAGTGCAGTGAGGAAGAGGAGTCAGGAGGGAGAGAGAAAAGGAGGATGGGAGAGCCAAGGCATCCCCAGGAGGAGCCCCCCATGAGGGGTTCATGTTCTTACACTCACTCACACACACACTCACACTCACACATGCATAGACTCACACCCACTCACACCCATACACCCACACCCACCATACTCAGACACTCACAGACAAGGGTGTAACTCGATGGCATCTCCAGCGTGCTCTCAGTGCTCCCCTGTCAGTTACCTGTGGGTTCCAGCCTCTTCTTCCTGTGCATCAGGAAGTCCCTAAGCCAGCTCTTGCAGTCTCCCATTGAGAACACCTGAAAGAACATGGTTAGTCCACTGTCCTCCCACTTCTCTTTCATCCGCCTGGCTCCAGCCTGAACCACTGTCCATTTTCTGTTGTTTGAGTCAAAGAGGAGGAACTTCTGTCCGTCAAAGCCGAACTGCCAAGATCCACGGATGCGTCCATCAGTTTCACACTCACAAGACATCCTGGCCTGCAGCGTGCGGGGTCCTGCCCCAATCAGAAAGAGATCAGCTCTGGTCTTTACACATTCTCTTCCCTGTCCCACATCCTCCTGTGCTGAGACCCTTCTCATCTGGTCCTGTTGCCTCCTCCAAGTCCTGCCCTTGCTGCTGGGCTTCATGGAGGTCCCATGTCTAATTTATTCTACCCACACAAAGTGCAGCCCCTAAGCCCACACTCTGCTCCCTTCTGTCCTTGGTCTCCACCACTCACCGCTGGGTGTGAAATCCTCCAGCTCAGTGTCAGCCAGTTCCAGTCTGAGCCTCTGTCCCACCTCTCTCAGCATTTCCAATTGTTTTCCCCAGGCATCTGTGGCCTCCAGCTGCTCTTCTAGGTGACCCATAGGTAAGACCTTGTCACTGCCACAGTCATAGGAGAGGAAATTCTTCTGATCCACCTGGCCTTGGACCTCACACCACTGTTGTCCATGTCTGGGCAAACGAATGATGGTGAAGTTATACCAGAAAGAGTGAGTGTCTATGGAAAAAAAACCCCAAAATACCGGAGAATTTTGAGGTGGGGGAAAGACCCCAAACACTGTGACAGCAAGAGGGTTTCCTGAAGGGCTGGGCTGGCAGAGATGGATTTCTCTTCCTCGATGGTGGTCTCTGCCTGTGGAGGAACCATGGGTCGCCAACATGTCCATCTTCCCACTCTGCCCAGACCTATACTCACATCTGTCAGCACAGGACCCTGCCAGGGAGGTGGCAGGCCTGCTACAGGTGAAAGGACCTAGATGGCAGGATCTTCAGCAGCAGCCCAGGTGGACTGCAGGAGGCGGGAGAGCACCCTGAAGATTTTGCAGCATGGTGTAGTGGGTACAATGTAGTCTAAATTGGGTAAGGATGAGTTTATTTATTATGGGAAAGAAGACATGGTAAGTTCCTGGAATATGCTTCTCAGCTGCTACTAGGTTGCCCTTGGAACCTTGGAAAAAGGAATGACCCACAGTGCACGAAACAGAAAGCCCATCTCTTACATGGCAGGTTGTAGAGGAAAGAACAAAAGGCTCAGAGAAGTGCAGATGCTAGAGTGGCTGCAGTATGAAAATTCAGAACAGTGGCCACCCTCTGGGCTCAAGGGATGCCTGGAGGACTCCTGTTTACCCAGCATATAAGAAGGCCCTGGGAGAAGGCAGCCGATTGTCAAGAAGCTCAGGGATGCCTGTTGCTGAAGGCCAAGGTTGGGGGTAGGAGATGCTCTTCCTGAAATAGGCTTCCAGTAGTAATGGGGATGGAAAATCCTCAAATAACAGATCTCAAGTGGAGGCCATCAACTGTCAAGAGGAAGGAGGGTGCAATGATGGAAATAATTAGAGAAGTCACAATGCCAGCTGGAGACTTCAGCCATAGAAAGCTATGCCCATGGCTCATAGAATGAAGTGGTCCAAGATCCAAAAGAGATGGAGACTCAACCTGGATACTGCTAGATTTAAATAACTACAACAAACAAAGACAAAATGCAAGGATGGATGACCTGGAGGCTGAAAGTTGTCACCCCAGGAAATAACTGAGCTCCTTTGCCCAGCTTTGAGAACTGAGCCACATCTCAGATCAAGTCCATTACTAGAAGGAGAGCCCAGAGCCCCTGGTGGGCCTCTTTGACCCCACAGCAAGTGCAATGACTGCTTAAGACTCCCCCACAGAACCAGACGGGCATTCACTCTGGTAACTGTACACCATGAAACAGCAAATACCCAGACACTCCTAGTGAACATAGTGTGTGATCCGACCCCCTCCCAGGGATCTGAAGCATTAACTTGCTTCCCTGTTACTCATGAGGTGCAATGGGGCAAAGTAATGGATGGAAACCTGTGTCAGGTCCAGCTTAGAGGGATGTGCTGGGTTCATGGACCCATTTGATGGTAATTTCACATTTCCTGGATTTGTACCGGGAATGGACAGTGTTTATAGCTAATGTAGTAACTATTAGAGGTTGTGCTGGTCATAAGACCTCCCCTGTCACTACTCAACTCTGCTCTTGTAGCTCGTAATGCAGCCATACACACTCTGTGAATGAGGGGTGTGGCTGGACCTGCCACTACGGCTATTTGACCCTGGAGTCCCTAAGATCCCAGAGACATGTGTGGTTGGAAAAGGTGCTATGTGGATTTCATGGCAATTCCCAACCACAGAATCACAACAGGGTCCCCTAGTGCTCAGAAGCAAGGCTCATTTAAAGTGGCTCCAGGTGTCGTTCTGGGCCCTGGTGGAGATAGCCTCCAGCAATGGGAGGGCAGTCACCAGGTAGCCTCAGAGCTGCCCATTAGGAAGGTAGGCCTGGCAGTGAGAAGACACAGGTGGGTCTCCTGGGATGGGCCGGAGCAGGGCCACAGGGAACCAAGAAGCTGCACAAGCAGTTGGTCCTGATCCCCAGGACACCCCATGCCTGCACCCCCTCACCCTCAGCTCACACCTGAGGCTTCAGGGAGGGTCCCTGAAGGTCCTGGGGGACGACTGATGCCACCCAGCAGCAAAGGAGGGGGGCAGTACACCCCGAATCATAGAACCTCCACTTACATCCATCACATCCACACCACCCAGAAGCCACAGGCAGGGTCGGACACACCTGTGACTCTTCAACTTACACCACTTGGAGATGACACCCTAGGGGATGGGGCAGCAATTGCCAGGACACAGCATGTACCCTCATCTGGGGTCAGCAACCTAGGATGGTGTTCACATCTGGTCTCCCTTTTATTAACAGGTTGCCATTTCCTGCTGCTGCTCCACAAAGGGACAGGACTTGACACAGAGAACCCACGGCCAGCAAGGACCAAAGTGCCTTCAGCCTTTCCTTTCTAGAAAGGGTTTGCTGACTCCTGTCTGCATAGTGACTATTCTGTATGACGTTTGCTCCCCAGTAGGAAGAACAGGCGGATCTGGGACCCAAGGGAAGTAGTGAGCACCTCTACTCACGGGCGCTCCCAGGATCATCCTGGGGGAAATGGTCCTACCCATCCCACCTGCACTAAGTTCTGTGGAAAGCGTGGGGAGTGTTTGCTGGGGAGAAGGGTAGAGGGTGCTAGTTGGTTGGGGAGGTGCTAAGGGCCCCTTCATGGATGGGGAGGTGAGGGAGACCTGTGGGGTGACAGGGCTGGGCTGAGATGGGTAGTGAATGAATGTGACCTGGGTAGTGTAAGTGAACGCTGAGGGGAGCGGTGGGAAGTGTCTGGTGAGCCCCTGGGTGCGGGTGAGTGTCTGCAGCAAAGCTCAGAGGGAAGTTCCAGGGCAGGGAAGTTCCAAGGCAAGGAGCCCTGGGGGTGCTGGAGGGTTTGTGTGGTGGAGAGCGGGTGAGAACAGAGCAAGCCTGTGGCTGGTGGGGGTGTCAGTCATCGCGTCCCTGTGGAACCCCCTTCACCTCTGTCCTGACCACAGCTCGGGTTCCGGGAGCTCTGGTTTCTCCTTCCCGAGGGTGAGTGGGGCTGCGAGTCTGCACCAGGGATCCCCGCCCCACCTTGGGCTCGGCAAGCCCTTTGGTCCCTCCACCCTCCTGCGGTTCCTTGTCTGCCTTCTTTGACCCCCCGCCCCCCTCCTGGCCTGTGGGGCAAGCAGTAGCCACAGAAAGAGGACCGGAGGAAAGGAGCCTGGCAGGGGAACTGAGGGGGCACGCAGTCCTGGGAGATCGCGCCAGTCCTTCCAGAAGCCTTCCCCTCCTCTGAAACCCGGTATAGTCCACAGTCCTCCAGGTTTGGCCCCCGTCCCGCTTAGGCTCCATCCCTGAACTCACCGGCCCTCCCTGCCCCGAACCAGCCGGACAGCAGGAACAGAAGCGGGAGGCACAGAAGGAACGTGGGGTTGGCGGCCTCTGCCATGGGGGATCTGCAGCGGAAGGCACCGGAATCGCTGTCGCAGCAGAGATCCGCGGTTGAGTTGCAAAGAGAACCCCAAGCCGATTGGTTGTTGGGTGCCCCGCCCAGGCCGGTGACGTGCCCTCCGTCCGACCCCGCCCCGCCCCGCCGCTGCGCTCAGTCCAAGGCTGGGATCCACCTGAAACGTTTGCCGGCCCTCCTCTGGGGAACGCTCCACTCGGTCCTGTCCCCGGCTCCTGGCCTGACAGCGGCCAGGTCGGGCGAACCCTCCCCGTCCACCCCGCCCCTGCGACTTGGTGGCGGCGTGCGCGGGTTCCGCGCGGACCAGGACACAGTTCCTTCCTCTTTTAATTTTTCAACACAGCATTTATCATTACCCCAGTGTAAACACTGATGCAGAGGAAGGTGAAGAAACTTGCACGGGGATATTCAGTGGCGGCGGTGTTCTCCGTCACCGCCTGCGCCAGCGACACCTGCCCTCCCTCCGCCTGCAGGGCAGAATCCCCGCCCCTCTCCGTCCAGGGCGCCGCAGGTTCCCAGTCCGGAGCGGACCTTCTTTGCCTCACCTCTAAAAGCATGAGGAGGTCTTTGAGTGTATTATATATCCCTTTATGACTTTGGGGAAAAAAAGAAAGGAAAGCCCTAAAGGCCTACCGTGATCAATCTTTATGTGATCAATTGTGTTTCCATGGAGAGCAGAAGCCGAGGGTGGAGTCTACGTCTTGATGGGGCTCACTTTGCTGCACACCCATCTGTGGCCAACTACACCCAAATCCATGGCTGCACCCACACCTCTGCTCAGTCCCTGGATGGTCCCTGCAGCCATCCTCAAAGGGGCAACGTGAGTGCATCCTCGTCTCAGTCACCGTGGAACCATCTAGATCTGTGGGCAGAAGCCAGAGGTAAGTGGGGGGCCCAGTGGCCCCTGGCCACAAGGGAGGGCTTAGCCTGGGGTGAGGACTGGGCAGAACCCCTGAGTCCCACTCTGCCCCCAGCCACTCAGCCGGTTCCCCATTGAATGAGAAAAATAGACACAGACCTCCCACTCTACACAGTCTTCATGTGGGGAGAACCTGCACCTGTTGACCATCAGTCTCCAGGGTCCTGAGGCCGTGGGAAAGGGGAGGAGGCCCGGACAAAGCCCAGGGCCTGTCTCTGCTTCAGGACAGAAACATGGGATGGCAGCAGCCTCTGTGACTGAGCAGGGACACAGAAGCCTGGAAGGTTCTGGCCTGATGCACGAGAGCCTCTGTGCAGGAGGGGCCATGTGGAGGGTGGTATGGAGGACAACAGACACATGGGGGTGGGCAGTTCTCAGATTTGTGAAGGCATAGCTTGGTGGTCTGGGGATCTGTGTGTGAGAAGATCCAGCCCAGGATGGAGACAGAAGTGGTTCAAAAGTGACTGTAATGGCCATGATCTAGAGACCGTGTATTCAGACATGGAAGTCAGCTGATATTGTGGCATTCCCGTGCAAAGTTCTTCAGCTTTCTGGGCATGGATGTCTGCATGTGGAAAATGACAAATTTTACAAGAAACTCTGTCCTTGCACGTGCTAAGGACCCAGGGCAGGTCTCCTATTTCAGTTGTGAGCCCTGCGGCCCACCCTGAAGTCAGCAAAAGCCAGGTCCACCCTGAGGAGAGCTGGAGCTCTGATCCCAGGCCGAGGCCTCTTCATGGCCCTGAGGGTGCTGTGAGGGAGAGGAAATGAAAGCAAGGCCCATTCATCAGGACTCAGACGTGTTTTTCAGACCCACAGAGGATTTTTCTCTCCATCACCTGGTGAGCCTGACATGATTTAAGGGTGGTTGGAGGCTGAGTGAACCAGTGAATGAATGAGACAGTTGTGGGAGTGAATGGGGCTAGAGGAATAGCACAGGTTCAGAGGGGAGCTGGAGCGGAGGTTGTAACCCCCAGGGGCCTGAAGGTGGCAGCATCGAGGTTGAAGACCTCGTGGCTGGCACAAGTTGGTAATATTTTTTTCCCTGTTTTCCCTTTTTGGTTGTTGGGTGTTTTTTATTTATTTTTTGTGGGGATGCGGCGTACAGAGTCTCGCGCTGTCGCCCAGACTGGAGTGCACTGGGACGATCTCAACTCACTGCAACCTCCATCTCCCGGGTTCAAGTGATTCTCCTGCCTCGGCCTCCTAAGTAGTTGGGATTACAGGCGCCTGCCACTGTGCCGGGCTAATTTTTGCGATTTTAGTACAGACCATGTCTCACCATGTTGGCCAGGGTGGGCTGGAACTCCTGGCCTTAGGTGATCCACCTGTCTCAGCCTCCAAAAGTGCTGGAATTATAGGCATGAGCCACCGCACCCGGCCACAACATGGAAATTTGAATGCCCATCTGGGTGTCCACAAAGATTTTCCAAGGAAAAGTAATTTTGGTTTTCAACCAATCTGGGGGTGCTTCATCAGGATAGAATCTTCTAGAAAACAGTGTAATGGTGGACAGCAAACTGCTGTCTTCAGCTAAGGTTTGATTGAGCCTAGAGTGCAACAGGGCCAGAAAAATCTTGCCTTTTATTTTTATTTTTATTTTTTTTAAGACAGACTCTTGTACTGTCGCCTGGGCTGGTGTGCAGTGGCGCGATCTCGGCTTGCTGTAACCTCTGTCTCCTGGGTTCAAACGATTCTCCTGCCTTGGCTTTCTGAGTAGCTGGGATTACAGGTGCCTGCCACCATGCCCAGCTAATTTTTTGTATTTTTAGTAGAGATGGGGTTTCACTGCATTGGCCAGGCTGGTCTCGAACTCCTGATCTCATGGTCAACCCACCTCAGCCTCCCAAAGTGCTGGGATGACAGATGTGAGCCGCCATGCCTGGCCAAAAATCTTGCCTTTTAAGCAAAGAAGGAATGAGTCTGAAAGTGGGAATGGAGATGGGAAAAGATAAGGGGGCCAGGAGGAAAGAGGAGAAAAGAAGGGGTGGGATCTGAGAGGGAGCAAGGATCTAAGCATTTAGGGCCCCATGGCCTCTAGTTGCAAGTGGGCGGGGCGGGGACAACGGAGCTGTGACAGCCTTGAGGGCCTGGGTGACTCATGCACAGGGCCCTCTGCTTCCTCCGGGTGTGTCACGCCCTGGGCTTCAGGTCCCCAGTGGCACAGTTGCTGGTGCAGAGTTGGGCATTTGCCTCCAGCCTCTGCTCCTGCTGCCAGGCTGGTCCGAGTCGAGTCGGGTAGTTGAGTTCTGGGGCTGGACCCTAAGCAGGGGTTGTGGGCAAACACAGGGGGTCTTGGACTACATGGGGGTCAGGAGGAGGGGAGGCTTCTGGAAGTTTCTGAAGGTCTCCCTGGAATTTAATGTGGCATTGCTAGCTGGAGCCAGCCTGGCATGGGGAGAGAGATGTGAAACTGATGAAAAGCGCACAGTCTGATTTAAAAGCAAACCCTGAGACCTTTCCAAGAACAATAAAGCATATTGTAGTCACTAAAATAAACGAATACACACACACACACACACACACAAAAGTAGCCTTTCTTGGCAGATACAGCACATTTTATTTTTAATCTTTACATTTATCATTGCCTTTTGAAAACAATGTATATTATTCAATATTTAAAAATCCAACCTGGGAGTTTCAGTGATTTATGTGATAAGTTTAGTAATTCACCTTCATTGTTATTACTGTTTAGGATTTAGCTCTGTCATTTTTTTTTTTTTTTAAAGATATGGGGTCTCCCTTTGTTGTCCAGGCTGGAGTGCAGTGGCGTGGTCATAGCTTACTGTAGCCTCTAACTCCTGAGCTCAGGCCATCTTACTGCCTCAGCCTCCGAGTAGCCAGGACTACAAGCATGTGCCACCCACTGGGCTAATTTTCTATATTTGTTTGCAGAGATGGGGTCGGCCTATATTGCCCAGGCTGGTCTTGAACTCCTGAGCTCAAGCGATCCTCCCACCTCGGCCTCCCAAATTGCAGGGATTACAGACGTGAGCCACTTTCCCTGGTCCATATGTATTTACTGTATTTTTTATTGCTGGTATTTGCCCTCCATACCTGTGTTCCATTTAGTATACTGAAGGTTTTTTTCTGTTGGTTTAAAAGTTATATATTCTAGTTTTCTTCTCAGGGTGGCTGCCCTTTACCTATGACTCATACCAATATGTATCACATTTATTGGTATTAATGGTTTTGTTTTATTCCTAATTTTAGAAGTATCAGCACATTTTCCTATCCCTTTTGTGTGCCACCTTCAGCCCCATTTTCTTAATATCTTTCATAGCTATAATTCTCGGTTATTCTTAGCAACACTTCCTTGTTTCTGTGATCCTAGGTTCACATTTCCCACCCCCACCAACCCTTTTTTTTTTTTGAGATGGAGTCTCACTCTGTCGCCTACCCTGGAGTGCAGTGGCACGATCTCGGCTCACTGCAACCTCCACCTCCTGGGTTCAAGTGATTCTCCTGCTTCAGCCTCCTGAGTACCTGGGATTACAGGCACCTGCCACCACACCCAGTTAATTTTTTGTATTTTTAGTAGAGACAGAATTTCGCCATGTTGGCCAGGCTGGTCTCTAACTTCTGACCTCAGGTAATCCACCCACCTCGACCTCCCAAAGTGCTGGGATTACAGGTGTGAGCTACCACGCCCATCCCACATTCTCCCTTTTTGTTGACAACAGTAATCTGGAACAGATTCTTTGATCACTCGTCCTCCTTGGTGGTCTTGTCACATGTTCTGTGTTTCTCTTGCTATTGGAGTTCCTTCCTCTAAACTATTTCCAACTTGGATCTTCAGGAGGTAAATATTCTTCAGGTTTTAATAAGCTCAGGAGCTTATTTCCTGAGCTATTTCATCCAGTGGTACTGTTCTAGGCTGTTAGTCATAGTCTCAAGAAGGCGGAGAATGGTTTCTACTTTAACCTACCTTTTCATAGATGCACTTGTAGATCAGACAAGCTTATTGTTTTTCTCTTATTCAGCTACTGCTAGTCTTCTCTTCTCCCACTAAGGAAGGAGACCACTACTACTCCTGCTGCCCTCCTACCCCCACCTTGCCTAGTTCACAAAAGAGGAGGAAAGAGAGAAAGCAAAAAGTTAGAAAGAAACAAAAGTAAGATAAATAGCTAGACAAACTTGGCACCACCACCTGGTCCTAGGAGTTAAAAAAAGTAATAATAATAACATCAATCCCTGACCTAAACTTGTGTTATCTGTAAATTCCAGACACTGTATGAAAAAAGCATTGTAAAACTTTTTGTTCTGTTAGCTGATGCATGTAGCCCCCAGTCACGTTTCCCACGCTTGCTCAATTTATCACGACCCTTTCACGTGGACCCCTTAAAGTTAAAAGCCTTTAAAAAGGCCAAGAATTTCCTTTTCCGGGAGCTCGGCTCTTAAGACGTGAGTCTGCCGATGCCCCCGGCCGAATAAAAAACCACTTCCTTCTTTAATCTGGTGTCTAAGTTTTGTCTGTGGCTCGTCCTGCTACACCAGCATCACACCAGCTCCTCCCCCATTGCTGTGGGGTCCCTGCTTTCCCTGTTCACCATGTTCCCACCATTGGCTCCCCATTCTTACTGCCCTCCAAGCATCATCCCAGCCCCTCCAGGGTCACTGCCTGACCAGGTGGGGGTTGGGTGAAGAGGCAGAGATCAAGACAAGATACCTGGTCCAGTTTGACTTTAGGTTCCTCTCTAAAACACGACTGCATTCTACATCCTGTTCCTCCGGCATCCTCAGCTGGGAGGATGTGTAGGACTGTGTAGAATCTTGGCCGGTGATGACCGGTTCCTGCAACCATGGCTTTTCAGCTACATTGATTTTTCCTAAAACAGACAAGCAGACTGGCAATAAGTTATGGAAATACGGTTTTCGTTACTAAAAGTAGAGATGTGTACACCTATCAGTGCTGGTTTTTGAAATAAACATAAACCCATAGGCACTCTGCTGCATGCAGATTCTATCTCAAAATAACACAGTTTGAAGATCTTCCAAGATCTGCACATACAGATTCTTTTCCTTTTTATCTCTGCATGATATTGCATAGAAAGACTGCATCACAACAAATGTAACCAGTGTCTACGTATGAAGATCCAGATGGTCTCCAGTCAGTTACTTTTACAGACACGAAATGCTGCAGAAACTGTGCTTGCATGAGTCTCAATTCAATTGTATAGAATAGATTTCCAGACACAGAATTGCTGTGCAAAGTAATGCACCTTTAAAGCGTCTCACGTCACGGAATGGCAATGCTGGCAACACTCTTGTCTGTGATTGTGAAGACCCAGCTTGGGCAGAGGATGGTGAAACATCCACTGTAGAGAGAGAGGTAACTAGTACAAGCTTCCTGGAGAACAGGGTGACAGGGCTCATCAAGGGTCAAAAATATCCAAGTCTGAATTAAGAATATGTATTAATATGCGTTTGAAATGGCATAAAGACTCCCTGGAAAGATGAGAAGAATCCAATAAAGTTTTTTCCTGGGCATGTGGCCAATGAGAGTGGATGCAGGCAGGGGTGGGGGAGTCTTTTGCACATGACTTTTCATGGTTTCCATCCTGCAACAGGTGACTATATGGAGGTAAAGAAGTAAGGAAAAATGGGGCCCGGAGTCCTGGGGACAGTCACTGGGTGGGCTTGCCAGATCTGTTGTGGGCCACGAGGTTCCAGGGACTCGGAACCCAGGTAAGCGCATGCGGGACTGCTGCAGTGAGGAGGCACTGGTTATAGATATTTACCCAACGGTATTGTCACAGGGGAAATATTACAGGTGATTGCTGATTTCAACCACAGATGATTTTGGGGAAAGTTCGCACCTGGCGGTTTCAGTTTCCACCCAGTCACGTCCTCTGGGCTCTGCTCCCTCCTCCCAGGTCGCCCGCTACGCCGGAGCTCTGGACCCGGGTCCTGCCCGGTGGAGACCGCGGAGCGGGTGCCCCGCTGCCGGCCAATGCGCCAGGGCCTCCGGGTCCACAGCCTCCGGACAAAACGGCCTTACCTGGGAGGACTCGGCTGTCGCGGCAAGGGACAGGCGGTTCCCGTGATGGAAGGATCCTGGAAATGTGGGGTTTTGGTGTGGTGAGGAGCAGGAGGTTTCCCCTTCATCCTCGCGGGGACTTTGCCACCGGCTCCGTGTGGAGACGTCACCTTCCCGCTCGGATTAGTGGGGCTCCAACAGTGTAGCCCCCAAAAGTACTCCCCATCCCCCTTGCCTTGGGGCTGCTGCGGGAGGGCGCCCGAGACGGGCGGGGCTTCCCGTTGTTGCCTCCACTACCCCGCCGCTCGCGGTCCAGGACTCCTGGTTTCTCCTCTGGGCTGGGGGCCCCGAGCATGGACATCGTGAGGCGGAGAAAACTTGGGATGGGTGGACAGAAGGATTCGAGGGAGGGCGGGAGAAAGGGAGAGGAAGGAAGCAGGTAGGCTCAGAGAACGGGGAGAAACCCCTGCCACGAAAATGGGGAGAGGGTGACATACATACAGCACCCGCACTCCACCGACTCTCCATCTCCTGCTCTCTGCCCTGTAAGGAATACAGGCCCCACCCGCTCCACCCTCAATGTGTTTGGGGTCAGCTATTCCAGCGGGGTGAGGCGTCCCCTTGTGGGTGCAATTGGCATGTCCCTGAGGACTGCGGATACTGAGCACCTTTTCCTGGGGTCACTGCCATTTGCATTCTTCTTCTTCGTCTTTTTTTCTTTTTCTTTTTTTTTTTTTTTTTTTTTTTTTTTTTTTTTTTTTTGAGACGGAGTCTCGCTCTTGTTGCCCTGGCTAGAGTGCAGTAGAGCGATCTCTGTTCACCGCAAACTCCATCTCCCGGGTTCAAGCGATTCTCCTGCCTCAGCCTGCAGAGTAGCTGGGACTACAGGCGTGTGCCACCATGCCTGGTTAATTTTTTGTCTTTCTAGTAAAGACGGAGTTTCTCTATGTTGGTCCGGCTGGCCTCAAACTCCTGACCCCAGGTGATCCGCCCGCCTCGGCCTCCCAAAGTGCCGGGATTATAGGCGTGAGCCACCGCGCCCGGCCTGCATTCTTCTTCTGATACCAGTGGGCAAAGGGAGGGCCCCAAACGCCAGTGGGACGGCGACCCCAGCCGCTGTCGGGCTCTAGACACCGCCCGGGAAAATGAATTTAAAGACCAGTGGGAAAACAGACAAAGGACAGAGATTTATTGTAAAAGGAAAAGTACACACTCACGTAAAGGGACTGCAGGGGAACTCAAGAGAGAGGAAGGCGCAAGGAGGCTTGGGTGAATAGACACTCTCTATTCTGTTCCACTGATCTAAGTGTCTATTTTTGTACAAGTACCACTCTGTTTTGATCACCATAACCTTATATTATAGTTTGAAGTCAGGCAATGTCATGCCTCTGGCTTTGTTCTTTTTGCTTGTGATTGTTTTGGCTATTTGGGCTCTTTTTTTAATTCCAAATAACCTTTAGATTAGATTTTTCTAATTTTGTGAAAAATGACATTGGTATTGATAGGGATAGTGTTGCATCTATAAACTGCTTTTGGAAGTATGGCCATTTTAGCTATATGGATTCTTCCAACTCATGAGCATGAAATATTTTTCCATATATTTGTGCTGTCTCTGATTTTATTCAGCCATGTTTTGTAGATTCTCTGTTTCCACACAAAATCTAGCAGAATCACTCATTTGTTACTCCATATCATGGAGGAAAAATGAAATAACATTAAGTCTTTACTGGGTGATACAACAAAATTCTAAACTCAGTAGTTTTTTGGGAAATAGAACCCTTCATTTAAATATCAGTACAGAGCAATAAATTACTAGAGAAAACAATCATTAATATAATTTTTGCTTGTTAAATAATTAAATAATTATCTTTCAGGACACGGAAAGAAACCCTGGAGGTCTGAACTATAACATGATTGTTTCACTGACAATATCATTTGTAAGAAAGAGGTCATCACTCAAAGAAGTACTTGATTTTCCAAACAAAAGCAGAAGAAAGAAAATGCTGACATATCTTGTTTAGTCAGCCAGATGTTAAGTTCAGGAATTCCATCAGGTAGCACCAAGAGAAAATAGCATAAAATGACAGGAATAACCGCTGGTAAAATTGCTGGCAAAAGGAATCAAGGCAGTGAAGGAGCTATTGGGTCCATGGTGTCATTATGATCTGCTGGAGGCCTCTGGACATACACAGTATGTGGTGAGCAGGTGGCCAGCCAGAAGGGTAAGATTGATCAAGACTGTGCCACAGGGGCTTTTTGGTATTATCTTTGACATTCAGAAAGGACACAAATGTTGATTAAAGAGGTGGAGGAGAACCTGGATCACTTTTCCAGGGCAAGCTTTCCCTAGTCACTCCACCTGTCAGAGCCCCCTGCACTAAAGGACTTGTTTTTCCTTTGAGCCCCAACCCTGGTGCCTGCAGGTTGGACCAACCTCCTTCCTCCTTTGTCACATCACAGAGGCAGCCCAGGCCCTGCACCTGACTAGGGGATGGAGTGGAGGGTCCTGCAGGACTAAAGCTGGCAGTGATAGGCCTGCTCCTGCACTCAAAGCCCTCTCTACCGTCTGACAAGAGGGCCTAAAACGTGGCAAGGGTTGGGGGGAGCCCATCTAAAGAGAGGGCTCTGTATTCCTGTGCCCTTGGCCTTGGGTGGGCCTGCAGGCAAACATCCTTCCTTCCCCTTCTTACTCAGCCTCTCCTCAAACTGGGAGAAGCACCCATAGCTATGAAGGTGACAGTCCCTGTTCCACCTTATCCATTCCTGGTCCAGCCCAGCGGTGCCCATGGAACTCCAGCAGCAGCTCAGCTCCCCCTTGTCTGAGTCCACTCTGCTCCAGGCATGGCCATCAGCCAGCTCAGGATCTGGGGTGTGCAAAAGGTGGATGGCAGGGGAGCTGCTTCACGGCCCAGACTTGAACCCCATGGCTCCATGGGACTGACTGAGAAGGTTTTTAATCAAGAGAAGCCTCTACTCTTTGCCTTCCACCTTAATTCCTGAACCCAAGCCACTTCCTGTGGGAAGGCAGTCCTACACTTCCTCATTTTGAATTAGGTGTACCAAGGCCCTCCCAGCCCCCTCCTCCTGGGATAAGACCCATATCTCTCTCTCAACCTCAGAGATGGAATCTCACTTCCCTTTTCACACCTCATGTAAAGCTACACGATGCACATGACCCAATTAAGAGGACTGACTGCTCATATCTGAATTCCTGCTGCTGGCAAGCCATACACTCACCCATCCTCAATAGGAACCTGCTCTGAATCAGAACTGAACTTGCTAAACCCTCTCAAGCTCAATAGACCCTGAGCCTTGGTATGGGCCCCTCCATTTCCCTCTGGCCTCTGAAGGTGAGAATCCATTATAACTCACGGCTGAGCTTCCCAGGTCATTGCCAACTAGCAACGCAAGGTCTCATTCACCTGTCTCATGTCAGGATGAGAAGATCCTGGCCATGGGGAGGGGTGGCACTCTGGGAATTCTCCATCCTCGTCCTCCCTCCTCACCCACCTACTCCTTGCTTCCCTCCCAATTCTGCCCCCATACCTGTCACTCTAAAGGACTCTCCTCAGCAGCCAGGGAGGATGAAGCAGGGGAAGATGAGGAGGAGGCTCCAGGGACTGAGGGTGGTGGCCATGGCTGTGGGTTGGACTGTGCCTGGGACACATGAGGAGGCACATGATGAGGAGGCAGCAAAGAATGAGGGTGGTGGCCATGGCGCTGGGTTGGGTTGTGCCTGAGGACACAGTGGGTGGTGCTGAAATGGAAACACAAGAGTGACAACCCTTGTCCAGGCCCCAAATCTGAGGAGACGCCTCCTCAGCTCCTGCTGACCCAGGTCATCCTGGAAGGCAGAGGTTTTGTGCCCTCCTGCTATGGGGTAGCCCCTGGGACAGTTCCTGGGGTAGGAAGGGAGGGGGTGTCCTTGTCCTCAGGGAGCTCACACAGCTGCTGAGGGAAGCAAGCTGACAGCACAGCCCACCCTCCTGCTGTGGTGGAAGAGAAGGTGATGCCCCAGGGCTGGGGAGGGGAGGGTCTCGGGGCTGGCATTTGAGGTGGCTTTGATGGATGTCCAGAACCAGACCAGGGAGAAGAAAGGAAAAGTGATTCTCAAAAGAGGGAACACTAAGGAAAAAGGTCTTAAAACAGTGACACCCGTAGTTTTGAGGCTGGTGAGAAATCCACAGTGCGGACAGCAGAAGCAAGTGCAGTGAGGAGTCAGGAGGGAGAAGGGAGAGGAGGATGGGAGAACACAGGCACGCCAGTACCCCGAGGAGGAGCCCCCCACAAGGGGGTCATTTTAACATAAATGTGTACACTGGGATGACTGAAGCTGAACTCAAGAACTAGTTTCTCGAGATCACCATTTCTGATCTCATTCCAGATCCCCGTTTCTTTCTGCTGTTACCTCCTGCACTTGGCTCCAGGGTGCTGTCCGTGCCCGTCAAGAAGTCCTTAAGCCATTTTGTGCAGTCTCCCATTGAGATGTAACGGAAGGACATGGTCACATCCTTGTCATTCTGCCACTTTTCTTTCATCTTTCTGGCTCCAGGATGAACCGTTGCCCACATTCTGTTCTCTGAGTCAAAGAGGAGAAAGACCTGTCCATCGAAACCGAACTGCCAAGATCCACTGCTGTGTCCTTCAGCTTTCTGCTCACAAGACATCCTGGTCTGCAGGGTGAGAGGTTCTGCCCCCATCAAAGGAGAGAGATCAAGTCTGGTCTTGACACATTTTGAGGCCCCATCCTGTTCCCCTTACAATTTCCTGGCCTTACTCTCTGCCACATCCTGGCCTTGCCTCTACACCTCTTGCAGGGTAAGATGACCTTCCCATTTGTACTTTTACATAAAAACTATAAATGCCTCTAACCTACCACTGTATCTGCTCCCTCCTGTCCTGGGCCATCTGAAACTTACCCCTGGGTGTGTAATTCTCCAGCTCAATGTCAAGCAGTTGCTCTGTGAGCATGTCCACCACCTCTCTCAGTACTGGGTTCTGTGCTTTCCAGGCTTTTGTGACATTTAGTTTCTTCCCCAGGGGACTGACGGGTGTGACTGTCTTGTTGCCACAGTCATAGGGAAGAAAAGTCTTTTTATCCACCTGGCCTTGAACCGCACACCATCGTGGTCCAGGTCTGAACTTAGGGATGATGGTGATGTCATAGCAAAGAGAGTGAGGGTCTGTGGAGAAAGGCAGGTGAGGGTTGGGTGGGGAGAAAAAGAGCCCTATGTAGCCCTCCTCCACATTGTGACGACAAGAGGATGCCTCTGGAGGGCTGGGCTGGCCCAGAAAGGAGTGCCCCCTCCAGAACTGTGGTGTCCATAAATTTAAGGTGAGTGCTCCCCCCTTGCATGAGGAGGAGGAGGAGGAGGTCTCTGCCTGTTGAGAAAACCACATGTCCCCAGACATGTCCCACTGCTCCTCTGTCCACATCAGTCAACACATGACCTTGCTAGAGAGGTGCCAGGCCTGCTAGAGGAGGAAGGGTCTGGATGGCAAAGGATCTTCAGCAGCAGCCCAAGTGGGCTGCGGGAGGTGGGAGAGGGTGTGGGGGCTGCCCCTGAGGATGCTGGTGCATGGTGGGATGGACTGAGGATGGAAAATCTAACTAACTAGGGTTAATTAGATAAAGAAGAGTTAATTTTCATTGTCACAGAATTTAACATGTTGGCAAAGCCCCTGGTGAAGTGCTCATCTGCTATGAGGATGCCTTCCTGAAATGAGGATGCCTTGGACAAAGAGATGGTCCACACAGCAATAAATAGAAAATTTGAAAATCTAAAGCAGATAGTAGAGGGAGCTCACAGGCTCAGAGAAGAGCCCATGACAGAGGGGTCTGAGTGTGAAAATCCAGAACAATTTCCATCCACTGTGCTCATGGGAAGCCTGGAGGACTCCCGTTTACCTGGCGTATAAAGAAGGCCCCATGAGAAGGCACCAGAATGGGATGAAGCTCAGGGATGCCTACTGCAGAAGGCCAGGGTTGGGGGTAGGAGATGCTGTTCCTGAAATGGGCTCCCAGTAGTAATGGGATGAAAAATCCTTAAATAACAGATTCCAGGTGGAGGCTGTCAACTGTCAGGAACAAGCAGGGTTCAGTGATGGAAATGATTAGAGAAGTCACAATGCCAGCTGGTGACCTCAGCCATACAAAGCTTTGACCATGGCTCATAGAACAAAGGAGCTCAAGATCCCAAAGAGATGGAAACCCAACCCGGATACTGCTGGATTTAAGTAATTACAACAAACACAGATAAAACAAATGATGGATGACCAGGAGGCTGAAAGTAGCCAGTCCATCAAGAACAAGGCTGCTTTGCCCAATTTACATAATTAAGTCACCTCTCATACCCTGAACCCATGACTACAAGAAGACACCAGTTTCCAGTGAGGAAGGACCCTTTAACCCCACAGTAAGAGCAAATATTCTTTGTGGCTTTCTCCAAAGATATTTATGTCCACTAGAGTTTGCTGTGAAGGGCAATTTTGTAAATATATAAAGGTGTGCAGGGAATACGTTCTCCTTTGTGACTACTCAACTCTGCTGGTGTAGCTCAAAAGCAGCCATAAACAATCCATGGATGATGAGGGATTAAGGGATTAATGCCTTAAGTGCCCAATGACCCAAGACCCCTGAATATCCTAGAGGTACATGTGGTTACAATGTCTAATTGGAAAATCGCAATATAGATTCCGTGTGAATGTTCAGAGGCAAGGCAACGCCACTCACATCAAGGAAATCTCAACATTAAAAAATGACTCCTGTAGAGTACTGTGCCTTGGCAGAGATGGGGCCTTTAGCCATGGAAGGGCGGTGACCATGCAGCCTCAGAGCTGCCCATTACAGGTATGGTTCTCACCCTCTATGTCATTAGGAAGGTAGGCATGGCAGTGAGAAGATGAAGGTTGTTCTCCTGGGATGGGCAGGAGCAGGGCCACAGGGAACCAAGAAGCTGCACAAGCAGTTGGCCCCAATCCCCAGGACACCACATGGCTGCACCCTCTCACCCTCAGCTTCAGGGAAGGCTTCAGGGAAAGTCCCTGATGGCCCCCATGGAACATAGGAGCATCAAAGGAGGGGAGAGTAGGCCCCGAACCATGGGACTCCCACTCCCATCACATCCATACCACCTAGAAACCACAGGCAAGGTTGGACCACTTTCTACTCTCCAAATGATACCTGAGACACCACTTGGAGATGACACCATAGGGGATGGAGCATTATTCACTGGGACACTGTAATCCCCTCATTTGGGGTCAGCAACCTAGGACAGGGTCTGAATCTGGTCCCCCTCATTTGCAGGTTGCCATTGCCTGCTGTTGCTCTACAAAGTTACAGGACTTGACGCAGAGACGGAGAATCCAAGGCCTGCAAAGATCACAGGGCATCCTTCCTCCCTTTCTAGAAAGGGTTTGCTGACCCCTGTCTACACAGTGACTATTCTCTATAGGAAGAACAGGCGGGTCTGGGCCCCAAGGACAGAAGTGGGCGCCTCTACTCACCAGAGTTCCCAGGGTCTCCTGGAGGGAATGGTGATTCCCATCCCCCCCGCACAGGTTCTGTGTGGAGCTTGGGGTGTGTTTGCTGGGGTGTGTCCTCAGGCCAGAGGCAGAAGTTGCCGCATGGTGTAGGAGGTGGTGAGGGTCCCTTCATGGATGGGGAGATCTCTGGGGTGACCAGCTGGGCTGAGGTGGGGAGTAAGAGCATGTGACCTGGGTGGTGTCAGTGGATGGTGACGGGAGGGGTGAGGGGTGTCTGCTGAACTCCTGGGTTCAGGTGAGTGTCTGCAGGAAAGTGCATGGAAAAATTCCAGGGCAGGCAGCCCTGGGGGTGCTGGAGGGTTTGTGTGGTGGAGAGCGGGTGAGAGCAGAGCAGGCCTGTGGCTGGTGGGGCTATCCGTGATTGTGTCCCTGGGAACCCCCCTTCATCCCCGTCCTGACCCCAACTCAGGTTCCAGGGGCTCTGGCTTCTCCTTCCCGAGGGTGATTGGGACTGCTGGGCTGCGCTAGGGATCCCCAACCCATTTCGCCCTCTTGCAGCCCCCTGGCCCCTCCACCCTCCCGAGGTTCCTTTCCAGCCTCCTCTCTGCCCAGCTCCTCCCCTGGTGGGAGAAGCAGGCTGGGAGAGTGGATCTGTCGGGAAGGAGCTGCAGAGAGGAACTGAGCGGGGGTGCAGTTCGGGGAGATGTGCCGATTCTTCCAGAAGCCTCCCCTCCTCTGAAGCCCGCAGTCTACAGCCCCCCAGGCTTGGCCCCCGCCCTGTTTAGGCTCCATTCCTGAACTCACCTGCCCGCACCAGGGGGACAGCAGGAGCAGAGGTGGAGGCATAGAAGGAACGCCGGGCTGGCGCCTGCTACAACTGGGGACCTGGAAAGCAAGCCCTGGATCACTTGGCGGCTGGCATGGAGTGAATGTCAGGTGGATCACAGAGAGATACAGTCATGGAGGTCAGATGTGGAGGTCAGGTCCGGAATAGTGTGGGAGGCTGGAATGAAGTCTGGACCAGGAACAATGGTAACTGTGGAAGACTCAACAAAGAGTGAGTATAGCTGAAGGAGCTGGGGAACAGAAAGTATATGTGTCGGTGTGAGGAAGAAAATAGATTTTGGAAGTTATGAGAACTGTAGAGGGTGAGTTGAGCATAGTTTGTGATTTTGAGGGCCTCTAAAACTACAGGGCAGTGGCAGACACCACACTGAGACATGATGGCCGCCTAAAACAGTAATGTCAAGTTGTTTGGACAGAAAGGCTGCAGGGCGAGGTCCCGGTCCATGTGTAAGTATTCTGCCTGCACAGCCCAGCACTTCAGCTGTGTGTAATGAAAAGGGTTGACATGAGTCAGGGAGAGCTAGTATGCGATCAGTCTCTAGAAGTTTCTTCAAGGAAGGAAAAGAGGAGTGGGGAAAGGATTTAGGATCTGTGGGGTCAGCTGGGTTTCCCTTTGTGAGTATGTATAATGGTTTTGTTAGGATGGCAAAACCAGGTATCCAAAGGCGAAAGTATCCAACCATGCCCAGGAAGGAAAGGAGTTGTTGTTTTGTAAAAGGGGTTGGGGATTGAGAAATCAGCAGGATATGATCAGCAGGGAGAGCACGGGTTTTCACGAAGGATTATGCCAAGGTAGGTAATGGATGGGGAAGAAATTTGAGCTTTGGAGGGGGATACCAGATATCCTTTGGAGAATAAAATGTTGAAGGAGCAGAAGGGTATCTTGTTAAGAAGACTCAAAGGAAGGACTACAGAGTAGAAGGTCATCAAGGTATTGAATAAGGTGGGAAGCAGAGAGGTGGAAAGAAAGTAAATCATGAGAAAGAGCTTGGCTGAAGTAACGAGAGCTATCCCAGAAGCCTTGTGGCAATACAGCCCAGGTAAGCTGCTGGGACTGATGAGTGTCAGGGTCAGTCCAGGTAAAAGCAAACAGAGGCTGGGATGAGGGATGCAGGGGAATAGTGAAAAAAGTGTCTTTAAAATCAAGAACGGGCCGGGCGTGGTGGCTCACACCTTTAATCCCAGCACTTTGGGAGGCCAAGGTGGATGGATCATGAGGTCAGGAGTTCAACACCAGCCTGGCCAAGATGCTGAAACCCCGTGTCTACTAAAAATACAAAAAATTAGCCAGGCATGGTGGCAGGCACCTGTAATCCCAGCTACTCGGGAGACTGAGGCAGAGAATTGCTTGAACCTGGGAGTCAGAGGTTGCAGTGAACCAAGATTGTACCACTGCACTCCAGCCTAGGTGACAGAGCAAGGCTCCGTCTCAAAAAAAAAAAAAAAAAAAAAAAAAAAGATCAAGAACAGAATAGTGAGTTGTGGAGGGAGGTATTGAGGACAAAAGAGTGTACGGGTTGGGCACCACAGGGTGGACAGGCAAAACAATTTGGTTGATAAGGCGCAGATCCTGAACCAACCTGTAAGACTTGTCCAGTTTTTGGACAGGTAAGATGAGAGAACTGTAAGGAGAGTTTGTAGGCTTTAGAAGCCCATGCTGTAGCAGGTGAGTGATAATAGGCTTCAATCCTCTTAAAGCCTGTTGTGGGATGGGATACTGGCATTGAGTGGGGTAAGGGTGATTAGGTTTTAATGGGATAGTAATGGGCGTGTGATTAATTGTCAGGGAGGGAATAGAGGTGTCCCATGTCTGTGGGCTAAAGTTGGGGGATACAAGAGGAAGACACGAAGGAGGCTTTGGGTTGGGAAGAAGGGTGGCAATGAGATGTGGCTGTAGTCTAGGAATAGTCAGGGAAGCAGATAATTTGGTTAAAATGTCTCAGCCTTATAAGGGAACTGGGCAGGTGGGGATAACTAAAAAGGAGTGCATAAAATAATGTTGTCCAAGTTGGCACCAAAGTTGGGGAGTTATAAGGGATTTTGAAGCCTGGCAGTCAATACCCACAACAGTTATGGGGGCAAGAGAAACAGGCCCTTGAAAATAAGGTAATGTGGAGTGGGTAGCTCCCGTATCGATTAAACAGAGGATGGACATACCCTCCACTGTGAGAGTTACCCGAAGCTCAGCATCTGTGATGGTCCAGGGGGCTTCCAAGGTGATCGGGCAGCGTCGGTCTTCAGCTGCTAAGCCAAGCAGATTGGGGAAGGAGTCAGTCAGCTCCTGTGCCTTCATTGCCAAGGAAGCCACAGTCCCAGGTCAGAGGAAGGGCTGATGTGGACAGTAGAAAAGGAGGGGGTGGGTGCAGAAGGGGACGCTTGGAAGCAATGACTTCTGGAGGATAAACAATATCACCGGAAAATATGACAAAAAAGAAAGGTATAAAGAACAAGGTGGAAATCATCTGAAATTCCATCATGCAGTGTTCAATGTTAGGATTTTGGTGCAATCATATGTAATTTTTATAAAATTATGATCATACACCTTAGAATTATTTTAAATGACTAGAGTGTGTATTTTTAGAGCAGGCATAGAGTTCATAGTGCAGTGCTCTCTCGCTCCTGTCACTTAATTACTTTTTTGGCCTCATGTCATTTTAATTATTTATTCATTTTTGATTTCAATTCTTATCGTAAAGGGTACATATGCAGGTTTGTCACATGGGTCAACTGTGGGAGGCTGAGGCTTGGGGCCCCAGTGATCCCATCACTCAGCCGGTAAGCATGGTACCCAACAGGTGGTTCTTCAGCCCATGTTCCCCTCCCCCACTCCCATCTAGTGATCTCCAGTGTCTCCATCTTTACATTCATATGTATTCAATGTTTAGCTCCCACTTGTAAATGGGAACATGCAGCATGTGGTTTTCTACTTCTGTGTTAGGTCGCTTATGATAATGGCCTCCAGGTCCATCCATGATGCTGGAAAGAACTTCATTTTGTTGTTTTTCATGGCTGCATAGATTTTCATGGTGTGTGTGGACCACATTTTCTTCATTCAATCCAATCTCACACAGTGAAATCCTCTCACTATGGGTTCAGGACACAAGAGGGGGAAATAATTTAGCCTGGGGAGGTGTGATGTCATGTGTCAACCTGGAAGGTGATTTGGATGAGATTGACATTTAAATTGGTGAATGCTGAGTAAAGCAGATTACCCCTGTAAGAGAGGTCAGCTTGAATCTAATTAGTGGAAGTCTTGAAAACATCTAAAAGATTGACCTCTCCAAGAAAGAAAAATTCTCCAGCAGACTGCACATGCCCCATCAGCTCTCCTGGGTCTCCAGCCGGGTGGCCCACACTGCAGATTGTTGGCTTGCCAGTTGCATACTGGTGATAGGCAATTTCTAATAACATCTCTCTCTCTCTGTCTCTCTCTCTCTCTCTCTCCAGAGGATGCGCCAGAACAGAAAGCCTGGAGGCAAGAAGATAGTACCAGGAGTAGGCCAGGAGGGTTTTACCATAGAGGATCAGAGAGGAAGAGATGTCAGGAAGGGAGAAGGGACAGGGAGGATGTGTGGGAAATTCCTATTACAGTCGTGAGTTCCAGGCAGAAAATACATGGAAACTTACATACACACATAAACAGATACAGACACACGTGCACACATATAGTGCACACACATGCACACACCTAGGCAGCTAAGACAGCTGATCTAATCTCAGAATAGCTGTTAAGCCTTTTCTCTGACTCACCTCCTGCCAGCTCCTGCATTCAAGTGAGGGTCAAGGCCTGTGAACCTGAATGACCCCAGCTCCTGTTTTGGGCTGAGCTGCTTCAGGCTCTAGAAGGACCTAGGAGTTGCCTGCAGGAGAGGAGAAGGCAGAAGCAGCTTCCTAAAGCAGAGAACAGAGGGTGAGAGGGAAACACCTAGAGGCCCTGTCTTCGGAGGAGGAGAAGAAACCATAGTGGATTCATTGACGTATGTATATCTTTACGTCAGTTTCTGAAAAGTACATTTTTCTTAAGTTCCTATTTTCAACTAGTAAAAAAACAAAACAAAACAATTTGAAACAAGCAAGAATTGCAAAGTATTTGTAAGCAGAATCCAGAGAACTTCTCTGCCTGCACTACTTGAGAGCAAGCTGCCACGCTGATTCCTCATCTTTAATGACACCACCTCATGCCCCATACTTTAGTGTTCTTCCTACAAACCACGACACTCTCCTAATAAGCACAATACAATCACCAAAACAGATTTCACACATCCCTACATTACATCCATCTCATGCTCAGACATCACTCAAAATTCACCAGTTGTTTTGATTATCTGTTTTACAGGCAAGGATCTGATGGATTTAGGCATTTTTTATCTACTTATTTTACTGAAAATATAGATCACGGTGTTTTATTTGCCCCATTATTTGACCTCTGTATTCCTGGAAATATGAGGAGAGATTTGGATTGATGCAGTACTTCTTATTGTGTGTCACTCAGAAGTCCTCATTAATATATTTGAAAGATTTAACATCTTTTTATCCAGCATTTTGGTTGCTTAATTTTTTGCTAGTTCAGATGTTCTAGTCTGGCATAGAAAGAGAAATCGAACACCAACATGAGAAAACATGCTGTACTTCAGTGGAATGTTTTATTGCTAACTTTTTATTATGAAAACAACAGTAAAGTAAACAACCAAATATCTTCATGCTTTCTAGAACGTGCTTGGAGCCTGGAACTGACTCAGAATGCCGAGTAGTGAAATGAGTACAGTGTCCCCTGTCCTGAATACCACCTGAGTCTATGTCAAAGGAATGATTCAATAAAGACTCCTACCCACAATGGAAGAGGTCTCTCCACTTCCTGCCCACCACCTGGTGTAGACAGATTTAAACACTTGTCAGCAGAATGGGTGTGAGAGGGCATTCCATTGTTCTTTCATGGGTGTTATCTTGATTATGTGGGACATGTCAAATCTTTCATGGGCTTCTTCAGAATCTCTGAACTGCTCATGGCATTTGCCCAGTCTTAGGAGAATTAGATGTATTCTTATTTATTTGTGGCAGTTTTTTATACATTCCAAATCTGATCTTTTGTCCACAGGGGAATAAAATAACTCTTAAAAAGAGAGATTAATCTGATGTGGGGATTACTTCTAATAGAAGTAGGTGTGGTCAGGGCTGAGGAATGACAAGGAACGTCACTGCCCAGGCTGTAGTATGCTGGAGCCAAACCAGAATGAGTCAGTTTTTTTTTTTTTTTTTTTTTTTTTGAGACAGAGTTTTGTTGCCCAGGCAGGAGTGCAGTGGTGTGATCTCAGCTCACTGCAACCTCTGCCTCCGGGGTTCAAGCGAGTCTCCTGCCTCAGCCTCCCAAGTAGCTGGAGAGCTGGGACTACAGGCGCCCACCACCATGCCTGGCTAATTTTGTATTTTTAGTAGAGACGGGGTTTCTCCATGTTGGTCAGGCTGGTCGCGAACTCCCAACCTCAGGTGATCCACCCACCTTGGCCTCCCAAAGTGCTAGGATTACAGGCGTGATCCATTGTGCCCAGCCAGTCATGTTTTTTAAGAATAGGAGCATTGATGTTTGTCCAGGGTATCAGGACAATGTTCAAGACTGACAGTCAGAGGACCTGTAATTTAGAAGTATCGTTATCTTCTTCCCAAACAGTCTAGCAGAATCTCTAGTTTAGAAGTATTGTTAGGTTACCTTCTTCCCAAATAGTCTAGCGGAATCTCTAGTTCATTACTCGATCACATGAGGAAAGAATGAAATTCCATTAATTCTCTACTGGATTATAACACGAAATTTGAAAGCCAATAAATATTTTAGAAAATGGGATTTTTGGCCAGGTGTGGTGGCTCACACCTGTAATCCCAGCACTTTGGGAGGCAGAGGCAGGCGGATCATGAGATCAAGGAGATCGAGACCATCCTGGCTAACATGGTAAAACCCCGTCTCTACTAAAAATACAAAAAGAAATTAGCAGGGCGTGGTGGCAGGCGCTTGCAGTCACAGCTACTCGGGAGGCTGAGGCAGGAGAATGGCAGGAACACAGGAGGCTTGCAGCGAGCCCAGATCACTCCACAGCATTCCAGGCTGGGCTACAGAATGAGACTCCGTCCCTCAAAAAAACAAAAAAATAGAGATTTTTAACTAAATATCAGTAGCAGATAAATTACTAAAGGAAAGAATCATGGCTTTATATTTTCTTATGAACAAATTAGAAAATTCTGGGCCGGGCG